TAGTCTAGCTCCCCCGCTGATCCACTGTGTGAGGCTGGGTAACTTATTTCAACTCTCTGAGACTCTGTGTCCTTGTATGCAAATGTCTCTGCCTGCAAGTTTGTTGGGGTGGGGGGAGGGCTTGAAAATGAGGCAAATGTGGACTTTTTATTCTATGAATATGTACTTGTTTGGAATAGCTTTTTTTTTTTAAAGATGAGGTCTTAATTGGTAACCCATGTTGGCCTTGAGCTTGTGATCCTCTGGCCTCCGTCCCCCAAGTGTTAGAATTATTGGTATGAATCAACATACCCAGTTTGAAATATGGATTTTAAGAAAGAAAATTTAAAGAATAGTGAAAATCCACCAATATATATAAAATATACTATACCTTTGTGTGAAAAGGGTAGTATAAAACTTCACAGGGAGCAAAATTCCAATGAAAGACAATTATATCTCAACATATATTTTATGGTAAACATGATGCTCTGTGATTTCAGGAAGAAAGGATCGGGAAGAGAGTTGACACTTGCAAATGACGAGTTGAGTAGCTCACCTGAGGCCACACAGTCAGCACAGGAACCCAGAATCTGGATCTGGGGGGTGTGCTTTTCCTCTTTGTGTTACAGTGCCTCATCATAGGCATTTTAAAGCCATAGCCTGTAGCTTTTCCTGTGGCCCTGCCATGGAGGCTCCCTGAGGTAACAGACACTCAGCGCAGGTGGAAAACAGTTGCACCATCTCTGAAGCAGGCGTGGGAATTGTGTGGATGGTCGCTGTGTGTCGTGTGAGAAGATGTGTGTGATTGCGGTTCGTAAAGGGATTCGTGTAGGATAAGAGAGAAGAGAGTCGTCATCAGCAACTGAGACGCACAGAGGAGCTGGTGCTGAGTGAGAGTCAGAGCTCCAGTGCTTGCCTCTCTGGGCCCTCTCAGCACCCAGTTCCCTGGGGTGAAATCTGAGGCATCTGAGAAACCCGGCAGAGGCTTGGGAGACCAGCAGCTCCCTAGTCACATTCAGGATGCTTTCTGGTTTTCAGTTCAGACAACAAACAACCATATGTGAAAACAAAACAAACCAATAAACCTGCTCCCAACTCAACCATACTGTATAACTTTTTTTTTGTCTCACAGATTAAAAACAGTGCAATAGCATTCTTAATGAACCTTGGAATTCAACTTGAATTTGAAAAAGATTGCTTTAAGCCTAGAAAGTTGGGGAAATAAAAAGAGGAAGTAGGAGTTATGAGGTAATTTGAAGGGTCTTGGTGGTTGACACAGTAGCCAGGTCTGGGATCTGGGTATAGGGGGGGCAGCCAGACCTCCACCACACTGCTCCTAGTCAGTGGCATGACCTGGACAGAACAATAGCTAATAAGCCTTCTCCTAGGGAGATGGTGAGGGACATCAATAGCACTTTCTTCATAGTGTCACCATCGAGCGACAAGCCATCAAATGATACTGGAGTTCTCCCATGCTCTAGAAGGCTCTGTGACATTTTTCAAAGCCTCTTTAGGCCTAGGTCGACACTCCTCATATTTCAAGGAGGAAGAGAGTCTCTGGGAGAAGGCAGAATGCTCTAGATGCACAAGGCTACACTCAGTAGCTCATGCTGGAGCCTAGAGTCTCAGTCTGGGCCAAGCTGCTGGTTTTGTGTGTGACTATGAGATACATGGGGTCACATCTTTCTCTGGTTTCCTGTTTCCTTGTCTGCACTGTGCATGGGGGGAGAAGGAAGGAGATGGAGTTCCTTCTAGTCCTGTTACCCAACATTAAGCTCTGCTAATTTCTCCTCCAAGCCCCCGAGTCATTTCAACCACTCAGCGGGCCTCTTGCGCTATCACTCTCCATCCTGAATTACTTTCCAGCATTCTGCTGCATCCTCTGCCTGGGCTGACATGAAGGCGCTTATTTCATTTTGCTTCCATTAGATGTAGTCATTTGGCTAACAATGTCTTCTGAATGACTGTGAGCTTCCTGAGGGAGACTGGGCCATGATCACTGCTCCTTAGATCCCCTCAGAAAAGAGTGTGGTGCCTTGTCAATAGCAAGAGCCAAGAGCATGTATGCACGATGAAGGGAAAATAGTGTGGTGCTAAACATGGCCTGTGAGTGTGTTCCTGCACAGTGGAACAGTGCAGTGCTAAATACGGCCTGTGTGTGTGCTCCCGCACCGTGGAACAGTGCAGTGTTAAATACGGCCTGTGTGTGTGCTCCTGCATGGTGGAACAGTGCAGTGTTAAATACGGCCGGTGTGTGTGCTCCCGCACAGTGGCCCTACTTTTCCTTCTACAAACTGTCTCTGCTTGGGCAAGAGATAAAAAGACAGTGAGGATAAGATTTGCCCCTTTTTAGCCTGTAGTTTATTTCATCCATGACACCTTACAAATTGGGGGCCCTCTGGGGTTCCTCTGGACTCCCCCAATGGACAGAAAGCCCACTGAACTTAGAGTCTACCCAACTGAGGTATCAAAGACTTGCCCTCCTGAGAGGGTTGCATTTCCAGTCATGATGACCTATGGGAGGTCTTCCTGGGGAAGCTGTGCCCCAATTCCCTCTGAGGTGCCAGTATCAGCCGAATGGCTGGATACTCTTCTGTGAGAGCAGGAATCCACAGTATCGTGGTTACCTCCCTTTCCTCTCTCTCTCTCTCTCTCTGGAGCTTACACTTTGCAAGGGCAGAGACTCTCAGATTTATTTCTGAAGCTCTGGGAGCCAGGGCCTGACGCAGTGCAGATGCTCAGTGAACATTTGTGGAGCAAATGAACGAACCCACAGCACAGCTTTGTACGGTGTTGCCACAAAGTACGTACAAACTCATTTTCCTCTATAATATGCTTCAAGAAATGTATGAGGTATGTTCTCTCACAGTTGGGGATTTTCTGGTTGTTCTTTTTCGCTTTTTTGCTGGCTCATTGCTCAGAGCAGCTGGAGAAGGCTCCATTTCCCTAGGGTCTGGATCATTTCCTATAACACGGGGTTTGGGGCTACTGTGGGCCCAGGTCCTCTGTGAACACTGGTTATTTCAGTATTGGCCGTCTCCGAAGCATGGCCACCAGAGTGTATACACTAGTGCTGCATTTTATGGGGCAGAGTGAACAAACCCTGATCTTGTTGGGGAGAGTGGGGGGGCACTATATGTTCTTTAAACATCACAGAGACACTTAGTTCCTTGGCTGCCCAGATGTTTCACAGCTGTGTGAAAGCTTGGGCCAAGACCCTGGACTCTGGGGAAGGGAATGGTTTCCCAGTGTGGCTTCTCTCCTTTTTCCTACTTTTCCATGGATGTTACTGTTTATCACTGACCTTGCAGCCACACAGGCAAAATGCAGTGGGATGCTGAGGGCATCGTATAGACAACGGAGGCTGATCTCTTTCCTACAGATGGAGTCTGGTTGTTTTTTCTCTTGCCTGAAGACAAGGCTGCTCGATAACCTACCCCACTTTGCCCTGCCCTTTTCTATGTGATCTCTTGAGAACAAAACGCCCCTTCCCTCACATAAAACTCTTTCCTGCTCTAGTATCACCTTCCTGATATGTGTTTTCCCATTCCCACAACTAACACATAATCCTGCAACCACACTTAGCACAATCCATAAAACTCAACCTTCCTCTGAGTTTCTGGAGGATGAACAGGACTCAAGCATCTTTCTCGCTGGTATAAGACATGGCCCTCCAAAAGAGACTCTGCATGTTTGGGCAACTGAATGATGGATGCTTTCTCCAAGTTTCAGCTAAATCAAGGGACATATCAACACTGTGGGATTTCAGGAGGACACACACACCTCTGCTCAGAGATCAAGGCCTAACCCCACGGGCACCTTGTTCATAGTTTTTCTCATAGTTGGAGTCTGGGGTTATCTGCATGACTGCTTTCTGGATTTTGGCAGTGGAAAGAATGACTGCAGGCCAGTCTGGACAAACATCAATGCTCTAAAGCAGGTCTTCTAGGATTCCAGAGCCAAAGCAGCCAAATGAATCAGAGTGGGCACAATAGAACACACTTGGCCTTTGCATCCTTAGGGGGCTTGAGATTGTAGGAACACTGTAGGTAGGAAATTTCCAAAAGGTAGGCTACCAAGTTTCTAGTTCACCAATTTCTAACATTCTGCAGAACACGAGGAAGTCCCTGGGTTTAAATCAAAGAGAGCTGCTTAAGTGTGTCAGCTGCCAGCATTAGAAAGAAAAGCTTTCTTTGTTTTCACATCTGTCTTTTTTATTTTTCCAGTAGCTCTCTGAGGTTGGTAGAAGCAGATTCTTCTAGGTGGGAATGTGGAGTATATTGTGGAGTATATTATGCAAGTTTACACACTACAAAAATGGAAGCTAATTTTATGACTAATATAAAGACTCGAATAACCTTCATGGGCAAACTGCCTCATTTTATAATTGGAGAGAGTAAGGCTCCGAGACACCGGCACCTTGCCTATGGAAGCCCCAGGTGGAGTTAAGGTCAGAGTTGGAATCAACATGGGTTTTCACCCTGAGTTAATATTTCATAAGACTAACCCCTCTTCTCCTGGGTTTTGGCTGTCCGGCACTTGAAAAAAAATGCAAAGCAAAGTCAGCTATTGTTACAAACCCATAGGGAGAGAGAGTGTGAGGGGAGAGTCCCTTGATGTTCCTGAGAAGGATTACCTCCAGAAGCAGAGGAGAGACCTTGATCAAAGGGAGTGAACCTCCTCCTCAGGAGAAGCATCCTTCATGGCTTCTGGGATACAGAAGAGAGTTGCTTCTTCAAGCCCTGGCCAGGTAACCCTTCCACCATGGGGCTAACTGAGGATGCTCCTCCATGCCTTCTCTCCATTGGCCAATAGATGCCAATTCATTTCATTGACATTCACTTGTTTTAATGAATCAAAATGCAATAAGCAGCAATAGCACCCATTCCTTAGGCCACCGCACAGTCTTCTGTGTCCTAAAGTCCCTCACTGTGGATTAGGATGTTGGTGCCTTGCTAACCCTCTTCTCTCTGTCTCCTATCCCTGGACCTGCCCAGGGCCCACAGATGCCAGATCCCTACCTCCATCGTTGTCTTTGCTGTCTCCACAGGCCGTTTCCATGGATGTGTCGCAGCCAGCTCCTCTCCAGCCCAGCTGGCAGACGCAGTGCCACCCATTCAGGTCCAGGGTACATCTGCCATTTCCATTGCACAAGCCAGGACAGCCCTCTGCAAGACAAAGCGGAGAGTCAAGGGCTGGTGCCCAAGAGCAACTGCCACCTCTGCACTCATGCTCTAGCGCCTGCCTGTGGGACGCTTTCACATCTGCCTGTCTCCACAGCTGGGGGGCAGATACCACGAAGAATCTTCACTTGACAGAGAAGGCAGCAAGGACTCGGGAGACTTACTGAGGGTATGGTCAGAAGCAGTAGAGACAGGTCTGGAACCCACAGCATCGCCACCTCCCCCTTCTCACAAATGATCAGGATTCGCAGCTGCAGCCAGTGGATTAAGCCTGCCCGAGCCTGATTAGGAAGGTCTTCCATCCATCCATCCTCAGCCCTGTGCTTGGTCTCCTTCTCTCTTGCCTACAACTCACGGAGATCCTCCTGCCTCTGCCTTCTGGGTGCTGGGATTAAAGGCGTGCACTACCACACTTGGCCTGGGGCTGTACTTTTTTTTTTTTTTTCCAGTTCTTGCAACTAGGTCAACTTTAGTGGATCCTAGGCTTTTCATTTATTTGGTCTCATTTTCTCCTAGACAACAGCCTTTGCTTTGAGAAAGAGGGCTTGGACCTTTCTGTTACCATTGTGTTTGTACTCTAATTTGAAAAGGGCTCAGGAGACTGTCACAACATAGACAAACTCCTGCCCGTCTCAAGTACAAAGGAAGATCTAAGCAGTGCTAGCCGCTCGGCTGTGTATCTATCCACCTGTCACTTGTTCAGCATCTTCTCTGGGCTAGCTACAGGCACAGAGATGAACGATACCTAGTTGTATTCTTGAGAAGCAGGCATCCTACCAAAGGATAACCAAGTGCCTAGACGGAGGCCTAAACCACATCATGGGAAGTAGGGACAGCTATGGCCATTTGAGAAGATGTGGATGACCCAATTAAAAAGAATAGGACAATACTCAGACCCTATTACTTCTGCTCTGACCCTATGATAAGGTGGGGACTTTTTGGTGCTCGTCATGTAGACTTACAGGTTTTTGATTACTACCTTTTGAAGCCCTGCAGAGTTTGTGGCTCAGAAGGTAAAAACCTGATCAAGAATGATGACCTGAGTTTGAACCTAGGAACCTAGGGTGAAAAGAGAAAACTGAGCCCTAGAAATTGTCCTCTGACCTCCATACCTATGTCATGTTACGTACAAGTCCTGTGTGTTTTAGAAAATACTAGGTTTCATAACTCATATTAGCTTCTATTATATCATTTGAATTCTTTTCCTTTCTCTTGAGTCCTTATTTCTATAACAGCCAACCCTCTTCTCTGAGTGGCTATCAACTCAAACTATGCCATCCATGGCTTCTTTCCCTCCCCTGATCCAGCCTCCGGGGAAGGCATGGGTTATAATATTTTACAATGATGAGCAGCAAACACCTATAAGTTTGGCTGTAAACTAAACATTCTGCCATGAAACCAGGGAAAATGCTATTACCATTTGGGGGGTTGTTTTTATTTTTTTTTGAGACAGTGTCTCATGTAGCCCACACTGACTTCACACTTGCTATGCAGTTGGGTTGACCTTGAACTTCTGATCTTCCTGATTCTGCTTCCCAAGTGCTGGGGTTGCAGGTGTGCACCACCATGTCTGACTTATGTGGGGGTGGTGGTGATTAAGGTCCACGCTTCATGAATACTAGGTAAGCACTCTATCAGCTGAGCTATCCATATCTGTGACTCATTATTTTTAAAAGGGACAACCAATGTGAATGTGGCCATCTAGTGCCAGACCTGGCACACATAGAACAGCTGATTAATCAGAACCTGAGACTAGTGTTTCAAGGACTTTAAAAAATACATATTAAAATTAGCACACAAAGATTAAATACCATCAAGGGCTTTTGATAGTTGACTCTTATTCCAACAAAAAACAAATGTTCATTTCCACTTGAGATGGTCAGTGTGGATGCCAACCAGTCAATACAGTCACTGTCCTTTCCATTCAAAGGAAGAATCACTGGTTGCATGTCTTCTCAGGATCCAGTGGAGATCACACAGAAAGTGTAGTAGTAAACACAGAGCATGTGTGGGAGGCTACCAGCATGACCATCCTCAAAACTGATCAAGAAGAAAGCTGTCAAACTGAGTGCCTGGAGCACTGGGTGACATGCAGGTGACTGTTCTGTGTTCTGACTTAGCCACCATGATCAGTCACACAGAGTGACCTTGGCAAGCAGAGCTTCTCCTGTCTTTCAATTAGTCTCACTTAATTTTTGTCCATCTAGCCAGGGACTGCTTTTAATTAATCCACTTATACTGGGGTTAACCTTAGAGGAAGAAGGTGAAAGCTTTAAAAATATGAAGAGATTCTTTTATTTTTCTGTAAGATACAACATCTCGTAAGGTGCAGAAAGGACCCTTTATTTGTGCGCATGAGCTCAGGAGCCACACCAAAGGCCAGCTCTATAACTCTATGGTTGGGGGATTCAGCCATGTTATTAAATTTTTTGAACCCCAATGTTATTAATTATAACAAAGGGGCATCAGGAAGGCTCCACATGATAAGGAATCTGTTATAATCATTGGGTTCTGCCATTGTAGTGCCAAAGCAGGCATATGCTCTCTGTGAGTCAAGAGCATAATATGTTCCAATAAAACTTTATTTACAAAAATTTGTGATGAGGTAGACTTGGTCTGTGGTTTATATAATTCTTGTAGATGCCTCAGGACAGCAAAGACAATGATAGCTGCCATGTACTCAAGGCCTACCATGGCTGGCCACTGGGCTAGGTGCTTTGCATAAATCATTCCTCAAAGGGGTGACTTTTGGGGGTTGTAGAGATGGTTCAGTGTGTAAAACACTTGCTGTGCAGGGGTGAGGTCCTGAGTTTGGATCCTTAGAACCCACAGAACCAGACACAGTCATCTCATTGTGTCTTCTTAGAGATGAGAGGTTGATACAGGAGCCTTCCCCAGAGGCTCAAGGGCCAGCTAGCCTGGGGCATCAGTGGTGAACAAGAGACTCTGTCCAAACAAGGTCTGAGGTTATCCTCTGGCCTTTGCAAGCATGCTGCGGTTTGTATGCACCCACATTCGCACACAAAGCCTGGTTGTGTGTGTGAGAACACACACGTTTTAAAAAATAGTCTTGCAGATTTTCAGAGAAGTTCCAGTTTCACACCATTAGTTCCAAGTTTCTAACTGAAAAACAAAATATGATTTGTAGTTATGGGGACTCGGAAGCTTGGCAAACTTAAACTCAGATCTTAACAAGGTCATTGGACTTTCTGTTTGTGAGAAGATCATCCAATTAACTCTGAACTTCAGTTTTCATCTCTGCAGATATGAAAGAGGCACTGAAAAGATTAAATGCCATGGTATATGCCAGTTACTCACCCAGTAAGCATGGGAGCTGGCAGTTCAGCACCACAAGGGGCATTTAGCATAATGAGCCATTAATATGAGACCGGTTTTTAACACTGTGTAACTTGATTAAGAACCGCACTCACTGGAAAGTAACCCTTCGCTACTCCAAACTGTGCCATAGTTTAGTTCTCATAAATACTAATTTATATGATGTGAGGAGGCACCCTGGTGACAGGCTTCTGGGGGTCCCCACGCCCTGCAATTGGCATTGGTGTAGCATGGGCAGTGTCATGAGTCCCAGCCAACCCTACCATCACCTCACACTTCCAGCGAGGCTGTCCTTCCGGTGACAATTACCCTGGTTATCGATTCATTTTGCAATTAGTTTAATGGTCTTCCCCCCTCTGTTAGAAGGCAGGCTCCAGGAAGGCAATGAGGGCCTTCATCTGGTGCCTTCACACAGCAGGCCCTCACCATGCACTTGCTGAAATGAATCAATAGATCTGAGAGAAATGGGTTCTGCTTCTTCCCTCCTGACTGGGAGGAGTTGAGAAAGCTACCTTCCCTGTCTTGGCCCCAGTTTCCTGATGGATAACATGAATGGTACTTCTGGCAAAACTGACCCAGAGAAGAAGATGAGAACATCAGATTCCATCAAACAATTCATAAATTTAACACATTTTGTGCATCACCTACTGGATGCCGGGCTTTGTGTTAATTGATGGGTAGAGGGAGATACCTTCTGCCTGCATTTTCTAGTCTATGTTTCTACACCTTTCTGTGTCCCTGGAAGGATTTAAATTTAAATATATTTATTTATTTTTTGAAAAGGTTTTATTATGTATCCCAGGCTGGCCTTGAACTTGTGATTCCCCTCCTAACTCAGCCTTCAAAGCGCTGGGATAACAAGTTTGTGCCACTCACATCTACTGGGTCTTAAGATCTTAACCAGTCATTCTCATAGGGAACTCTGTGAGGCACTGGTGGTAAGGGGTCTTTAAATGGAGCTTCAGGGGCTGGATGTGGGGCTCAGTTGGTAGACTACTTGCCTTGCCTGCATGAGCCCCTGAGTTTGGTCCCCCAGTACTAAATGTATAATCTGGGTGTAGTGGCGCATGCCTGTAATTCCGGTTCGTGGGAGGTAGAGGCAGGAGGATCAGGAAACCAAGTCATCCTTAGCTCCACAGAGCTCCAGGCCAACCTGGGCTAGTGACCCTGACTCAAACAACAACAGTAACAACGACAACAACCAACACAAACAACGGAGCCTCTGTTGTCAAGTTCGGAAAACACTTCAGCTCTTGTCTTAGTCACACCGAATGGTGATAATCTTATTAAAGAAAATGCCTTGTTTATTTTCAGAGCATTTTTCATCTCGGCCTTAGAACTCTTCTTTCCCCAGTATTGCTATAATAATCTCTTTCGTGGCACCCCTCTTGGGTTCTTGTGGATTCCTCTGGTTGCCTATTGTATACACTCAGTGTTTCTCAGAGGCACCCAAGGGAGGGAAGCTCTTAATATGGGGCCACAGGGACACTTTATCCACTGTCAGTTTCTTCAGATGAACCTAGTTCCACCCTGAGGACCTGCGTGTTCCCTTTGGTTTCAGAGGGGCCTCGGAGTACTTGTGAGTGGAAGAGGTTCACTTTTATTCTCCATTGCTTCTGGCGCCCATCACACCCCCATTAGCCAGCAGG